TGAGCATTCTGCAGTAGTCAGGGTGACAGACCAGTGTGAGGTCAACATTCTAAGACTCATGCAACAACTGACAAAGTGATACATGCATTTCATTTCTTAACATGGTTTGGCTCTTAAAATAACTTTTGACCAACTTCTATAGAATAACAGATATCCATATATATATATACTCAAACCTATACTAGCATGCCTCTCCAAACTATAGTAAATTACCAGAAGCAGACATACTGGACTATTTTTCTGACTGTTCACTATTTCAAAAGGTCAGAAGTAACTAGTGTCATCAATTTGTCTTCTGATCATGGCAAAGTGTTAGTGCCACATCAAACCCATGGCCTCATAACTAGGACATTTAGGAGAGAACTTGTGGTGTGACAGGAAGCCAGACAGAATGAGGAGGATGTAGTCTTACTCTGTGATTAAACTGAATAACAGATATTTACATTACAAATCATAATTGTTGAAAAATAGAAATTATGAAGTAGAAATGAAATAACTCTATGCTTTGGGGTCTCCACAACCTGAGGTACTATATTAAAAGGTCGCAGGGTAAGGAAGGTTGAGAATCGTGGCCTTGGAGCATAAGTTTCAGGCAGTTGTAAATCACCAGACTTGGGTGATAAGGACCCAACTCAGGTCCTCTGCAAGAGTCCTATTAACACCTGTGACATTTATCTAGGATCTGGCTAATTTTTATTTTTAAACAGGTTAAATTTTGATTTATATTTCACTTTCTCTCTTCTTCTTTTCCCTCTCATTTCGCTCATCTCTCTCTCTCTCTCTCTCTCTCTCTCTCTCTCTCTCTCTCTTCCTCTCCCCCTCCCTCCCTCCCTCTCTCTTTCTCTAAGTTGCCTTGGCCATAGTGTTTTACTAAAGCAACAGAAAAGTAACTAAGACAGAGGCCTTCATTCCAGGAGGATCAAATCATAGACACATATGAGAAGAGGGGATCTTAACTAAGAAAAGTCCTCCAAAACTAAGTCTGTAGTTTGGGGAACTTTCTGGGTTACTAGCTTGGATTATATAAGAAGGCAGGCTGAGGAAGATGTGAGGTTCAGGCCAGGCAGCAGCGCTCTCACATGGCTCCTGCTCCAGTTCTTGCCTTCAGGTCGGGCCCTGTCATTCCTCAGCAGCTGACTGTTTGCTGGAAGTAGACCATGAAGGGAGCCCTTTCCTCTGGAAAATGTCTCCACCTGTTTGTCACAGCGACAGTAGCAAACCAAGACACTGTTAAGTTGAATAATGCTCGTATTTTATTTTCATTTTTTGACTTGGCAGAGTTAGGGAAACTTTGTTCACCTGCTATGTTTCTTCCCAGGATGCATCTTATTTTATGTTTACCCAGTCTGGACAAGATAGGAGATGCCTTATTCCCAGGAAGATTCCACTTGAGTGACATGCAGCTAGTTCAGGGTGGTTTTAGCGCTCTCTCTCTCTCTCTCTCTCTCTCTCTCTCTCTCTCTCTCTCTCTCTAAAAATAAACCTGCACATATAAGCGAACGTACTTAAGTATAAACTCCCCATAATGGGTATCAGGGTTCAATTAAAGACACCACGAATAGCTAAAAAGGGCTAAAACTCTGAGGGTAAAGAAGTATTCAAAACGGAAATTATCTGTCCATGTTTCTGTATTCTTGTTTATATCCTTACCCTTCCTTATTCTCTATTGTTCTTCCTTGTTCCCTGTTCTACATCTTTTTTACCTGTTACAAGAGTTCCCAGTCATATATAAAAACCAGTAAGCCCCCATCCCTAGCAGGCTCCAGGGCTGGAATTCTTTTGCCCCATAAACAATCAGATAAGGGTTTTCACGGACACACACAGATCTGCGGGTGTGGCTAGTACACTTTCCTTGACTGAGATGCTGTGGGAGTTCCTTTAGCCAATAGCTTTTAAGGTACTGGCCCACTTTGGGCGTGGTCATATGTACTACATACACAGATGTAACAGCGTGAGTGGCCCCTTGGCTGCCGGATTTGGTTCCAGTTCCCAGCTCATGCAGAGGACTGCTGATCTATGAGTCTATTCCTAAATAAAGAAACCTTTATTATACTCCATTCTAGGCTAGTGTGGGACTATCTTATTATAATCAACAACAGACTGGCACCCATGTGGATCCTGAGTCCATGCCTACCGGGACCAGGGCAGATGGCCTGCGGCCTTCTCCCACCTCTGCTTTCCTGACTTGATCTCACCCAGTAAGCGATCTTTTGCTAAAACCCTTCTGAAACTGAGCTACCCCTTTGGTGCACAGCTGCAAACCATTTGGCTGGCCTGCCGTGTGGCGACTTGGCAGTTTCCTGTTAGCCCACCGAACAGCTTGTTCCGGGAGCAAAGGCTTTTCTGGTTTGCTTTTGTGGCTTGCGGGCTCTGGGTTCCTTGAAATTCTGATCAACTAAAACCTTCTCCATATATGAATTTGATCTAATTGTTCTTAATCTGTTAGTATATTTGTTGGTGTTTAAATTGCCACCACTGCAGAACCACATCGGGATTGTTGGTGTGGTTGCCAAATGTGTCTCCTTGCCCTGCACCCGCAACTATGACACCTGCTGGCCAATAAAGGTTATTATAACACTTGCAGCATTTTACTGAAAACTTATAATGGAGGTAGGTTCATTTGATTAATAAATAAATAAATTTGACAATTGTGTAGTTGCAGACAATATTACCACCCAGGAATTTAATAACCTTTTTGATTCTACTATGGATGGAATTCTCCATGGATTATATGAGATGCCTAGTACATCCATTTTTGTGATCATGGGACTTAGCTTTGTTCTTCATATTATATACTTAAAGAAATGTTTTGATAACAGAGTAAAGTATAAGACACTTTTAGAATGATACAGTCTTCATAAACTAATAATGAAAAGCTAGCTGTTATTCTTTCCTTTCTACTCTCCTTCCTTCCTTTCTTTTTTTCTCTCTTTCTTTATTTTAAAGAGTGGTTTGCTATGATTGCCTTTATGGCCTGGACCTCACTCTGAAGACTAGGTTGCCCTAGGATATCAGAGTGATCTGCCCACCTTGCCTTCAGTGTGCCTGTATTATTAGTGGGCAGGTCACAATTGGATAAGTTGGGTGTTTTAATTGGCTTACTGAGGATGAATGGCTGAGCCTGGTTGGTTAGGGTAGCTAGGACACAGGCTCTGTTTCTAAGTCCAGTAACAGAAGAAGGCTCCCTTCAATTACAGCTCCCCCGGCCTTAATGTCCATTGTCTTCCAACTATGAGCAATATTATTTTACTTTATTACTGAGTCTGTTACAGAATTCTGTTCTTATTCTACAGAGGGTGAAATCCAGGCTCACAGAGATAAGTGGTCTTCTATGTAGTTAAATGTATGGTTATATAAGTGTAAATGCTCATCTTACTGATCCTGTCATCCCAATAACTCACTAAATGAAGTTGAAGCCATCTAAGCCAGGCATGGTGACACAGACTTGTAATCACGGGACTTAGAAATTCAAGGCAGGAATTTCAGGATTTTGAAGTCATCCAAGATGAGAATGATCCGTGGGTATGGACGAGGGCCACAGAACCATGAGAAACTGTGACTGGCTCAGTACTGTGTTCACAGTCTTCCCTGCAGCTCAAGAACTTCAGGGCCATGACACCAACAAGTGTTAGCTGAGGTATTTACATCCCATGTTTTCTATCATTGATAATGTTTCCTGTACAAGGCAGCCTAGGGCACTTCAGGGTTAGACTCCTGTTACTTATTAAAGAGTAGAATTCTACATGTGGGAGAATTAGCCTCAGGCAGGAATAAGTTGCCTAACTGATTATCCAATGCAATGTGTTCAGTCCTGAAACCATATACACACAACTAACAGAAATGGACTCAGCAGATTTTATTCCTATATTTCTATGTACTTATTCATACATATTTACAAGGAGGAATTGGAAGGGAAGAATTTGGGAAGGGATGGAATGAGAACAAGGAAGGGGAAAGTAATGTAATATATTTTAATTAAAGTGTATGAAAAGAAATTTTAAATTAAAAAGCAGTTAGAGAGACAGCTGAGTAGTTAAGAGCTCTGGGTGTTGTTACAGAGGACACAAGTTCCATGCCCAGAAACCACCTCCTGGCTAGCCATCTATGAGTTACAGCTCCAGTCCAAAGCGATCTGATGCCCTCTTCTGGCCTCTACAAGTACTGTGCACAGACACTTGCAGGCAAATACCCATATACAAACCCCCAAAATTCTAATTTAAAAGAATGGGATGCTCTACAGTGATGTCACAGCTTTGAGATACACAGCAGGCAGGGCTAGAACTCATTCTGGCGCTGTATGGAAGCCACTCTATCGACTCTCTGAGCCAGTATGCCAGAGGCAAAAGCAGCTTTATTTTGAGGTCAGAGTAGCTCAGCAGGACTCTTCCTCTAAGACAGCATCCACAGTGCTGACAGGTGACTTTTCCTTGATGCTTTCTGCATTCATGGTCCAGAATTCCAGAAGATACTTGAGAAATTAGGCCTCACTGAGTTTGGAAACCTGCCTAGGCCTTGGGAGATTTCTCTACGGCCCTGGTGTATGGAGTAAAATACACCTTCTCTCAATCTGGGAATATGCTTGGTAGATCTGGTAAAGGTCTGGGGCCAGGGCCTTTGCGGAGGGGTTGCTTCAGGTCCTGAGATTCCAACTCTTTGTCTACGTGGGGCTGCAGTTATCAGTCCAAGGCCACTGTGGACTTGGTTTACAAAGTTCTTGAGGGAACATGTTTTCCTCTTATGCAATATTTTCTGATTAGCCTCTTCCTGAATTTGTGTACTTCCTTTTAAAACAGAATCCATTGATATTTATTAACAAGAAATCTACTGAATTTGGCACAAATTTCTAGTCAATCTGTGATAGGTCTGTGTTTAGGTTGAAGCCACGACTGGGACCAAACTGTTCCTGTCACTCAGACTTCACTAGCCAATAAGAACCTCCAGCAAACCTGACAGTCAGATGGGCGGGTTCTTCCGGTCGCCAGACTTCTGGCTCAGCTCCTCCCACCGCGGAAGTCGGAAGCTACCACCTTGTGTAGCCCGGTTGGCTTCGCTGTGGGGAGAGCACCGGTAAAGTAGCAAAGCCACTTCACAGTGAATGAGGGACTGCTGTCCACAGATAGGAGGAGCGGCCCGCCATGGTGAGCGAAGGACTGCTGTCCCCAGGCTGGGAGGAGCGGCCGGCTGAGCCGCGGGAGCCGGGGTGGCGGGTATTCCCCGAACTGGGTGGGAGCGGTGGGAGTTCGGCGTGGTCCTGCCTGTCCCGTGTGGCCCTGCGTGGTTCTACCTGGTCCTGCGTGGTTCTACCTGGTCCTGCGTGGTCCTACCTGCCCCGTGTGGTCCTGCGTGGTCTCGCGTGGTCCCGCCTGGTCCTGCCTGTCCCGTGTGGTCCTGCGTGGGTGCTTGTGGGCCGGGCGACAGCCTCTGAAAAACTTCACTCGTGAACTGGGTCAGTGCCGGGCATTGGGAGTGGTACTACGCTTAGAAATATCCTTGTTGTTGACGTCGCTGTGAGATGCCGGCTCCTGTGGTGTTTCTGTTGTCGCAGTGGAAGACAGATTTGCCAAACTCGGAGAGCTCTGATCTCTCTAGTGTCTTCCAGAAGTTCTACCTTTTTAACATTGAGCCTTTAGGGTTAGGATCCGTCTGGAGTTAATTTTGTGGAGTTTGTAAACATTATCTCCTGTGTAGAGTGGCATCCCACCGCCAAACTGTGGCGTAGAGGAGCCGAACTGGTGCTGATAGATTTGATGGCGTAAGGATTTACCAATTGTTAGGACAATTTACCAATTGTTAAGTCACATAAAGTAGAATTTAGATAAGGGAGGTGCTTCCCAAATACCTCAAAGACAAGTAGTGTGCTAACTGTGATTGTTAGAGATTAGTATAATAGGATTTGTTCCCTATGATTAACCAACTATAAAGCTGTATTTCCATAAAAAAGGTGACAACCCTGATTTATAACCAGCGGAAAGGCCTGTCCTCCCATCAAAGACCGGGCCTCTAAGGTGGTGCTCCAGGGCCAGTACAGGGTCCCAGCCAACACTGAGTCCTGGGTGCCATAAAGCTATATGGATTCTAGAACAGCTGTGTCTCCAGTGTTTGAAAATCAGTTTTGAGTGTCTCCTGTGTTGATTGAGGTGGACTTGAACATGGTCTGTAGCCCCACAGGGCATCACCTTTGCTGTCCTTCTGACTAACCACCCTAAAATCGTTGATTACAGGTCTGTGGCACAAATTTGAGTGAACTGCCCATTGTACTAACAAGAAAAGAGTTTGGGTGTGGAACATGGCTTTTCCGTTTAGACCAGAAGTGGAGGAATAGTGTCCTGTCTACATGGTAGGGGGAGCCAGACTAGGCACTAGCTAGATGACAGGCTGAAGTTTAAGGCGGTGAGCTGCAGGAGTCTCCATCATAAAGAATGGCATGATGAGGCAGGGTGAGTGATTCTTTCCTTGTAAATGAAGACACAGAATTGGTGGGTGTGCAATTTGGAAGTATAACTTAGAACTACTCAGTATTCAGTTTCCAATTAGGGAACACTCCTATGTAGGTTTGGAATCCTGGTTGACACAGTTAAGTCAGCTCAGAGGTTTGAGACACAGGCCATTGACTGTAACTCAGCTTACAGCACTCAGCAGGTAACATTTTACATGGCCAAAGTCCTACATTGTCTTATTAATGGCCTTCTCTCCACCAGGGAATTGCCTACTCTGTTGTCAAAGTCAGTATAAGTGAGTATAGTAATTCTTCCAATTATTTTCCTCATTTTAAAAAGGCAATGTTATTGGTATTTTTAAAATTTTATTTTCTTTAAATGAATTACTGCTCTGATTAAACACATTACTTCTCTAATCTCTATTTATTTCATTTTTTTGATGTTTCCTAGTCACTAAGAATTTCATTCCACTTTTTCTCAAGTGCTGTTTATTTATTTATTAATATCAGTTTAAAACAGTGGTTCTCACATGAAGTGGTGGAGGCATCCAGGATCAAATGACCCTGTCATAGGAGTCCCCTAAGACCATTGGAAAACACAGGTATTAGTATTACCATTCATAGCAGTAGCAAAATTATAGTTATGAAGTAGAAGTGTAAATAATTTTGTAGTGGGGGGGGGTTGCCACAACTTGAGAAACTGTATTAAAGGGTCAACACACTAGGAAGGTTGAGGACCACTAGTTTTAATCAATGTCTCCTATACCTCAGGCTTGCCTCACGTTCTGTAATTGAGAATTGCTTTGAACACCTGTTTCTGCTGACCAGGGCTGGACAGACCGTCCTTCCCTTCAAGGCTAGGCCTTGACTGGTCAGTTAGAAGGAAAACTAGTGAATGAGTAACTTACAAATGAAGAGGGACTTGTATAAAAAGTGAGTTCACTGACCAAGTGTAAAGCAGATATAATCACAGCTCAGACACAGATGAGCAAGGAGGGTGTAAGGTTTTCTGCTGTGATACCAGTTGACATTAGCAATGAGCAATTAGGCCCACAGTATTAGCTGATTGATAGATGTCCTGACTGGCCATTCCTGGTTCATAGAGCAGGAAATCAAGAATGTGGATAAAGAACTGAATTTAAAATAAAGCCAAATTACTATAGTTACAGTAGTTCAACCAAAATTTAAGAACAGGATAAAATGGTGTGGCCCTGGCTAACATGAGTGTTATTTTCATGGTTTAAGATGTTCAGCCAGAGAGAAATCTCATGAGTAGTACTTGGTGTGCTCTAATACAAATCCCTGGTCTCTGGAGCACATGGCCATAAAGCCTGTTTCAACTTTTAAAAATAATTTTTGGGGATTATAATTACATCATTTCCACCATTTCTTTCCAGCCTCCAGGCCCTCCCATAGACTCCTGATTGTTTTCTAATTTATGGCCTCTTTTTGCTTTAACAACAGTAGTGTTTGAATGGGACCTGTGTTTGGCCACAGACTTCCCAGCTATGAAGCAGTGGGTTGACTGGTCATTTAGTGTGTACTGGAATGTGCACACAAAGGACCCTGTGCCTTAGGAGAGGAACGGGAAGTGCTCTGGGAGAATGGAAGAGTCTGTTAAACTACAGCTTTCCCAGAGTAGGGCCTGTCTGCTGGGTAAAAGGGCAGAGCTGGAAAGGCTGGTCCTGTGTGAGTCATTTGATTTCTGCTCACCCAGCTGGGAAGCTGCTACTGTCCTGAGGCCCTGCTGGGTGGCTCTAGTTAATGAGGGACTCTGAGAAGGCTTAGCTGTCAGGAATACCAATAGGAGATGACTTGCAGGTTCTTTCTTCTTCTCTAGTTCTCCTGTAGGAAGCTGTGAGGAAGACCACAATACATGCCACGGTGAGTGTGGTAGCCACAGTCCCCAGACCAGGAAGAGCAGGTTGGCTCTGCTATCAGAGTCCCAGCTGCTGGGACTGGGATGGACCATGAACCAGACTGTTTCTCTTGCTATATGTAGTGACCTGGGCTGTGGCCCTTGACCTCTGAGTTTCCCTGAGTGTTGATTCCCTGGGAAGAGGGAGGCTCTGCAGCGCTGGCCATAGGAAACTCTGGTGCCTTTAATATCACTGTCCAGTGTGCACACACAGACATTGTTTTTGGTGTGCAGTGGGAAAAGAGATGGGAAAACTGAAGGTCTGATTTCTAGAAGTCTTGAAGATTGCACTCCTCATTCAGTTTTATCTGATAATTTTACAAATGGTTTAGAATGTGGTAGAAGAGAGGTGATGGCTATCATCCTTCAGGAATACTTGGTTGGGGAAGTTCATTTCCAGGGGACAGAGGAGTTTCTGAGCTGCAAAGGTTTCTCAGGTGTGCATGGTGTTGTGCAGTGGATAGGAGAGAGTTCACACCTTGTGCCATAGTTTATGTGGCAGGAAGCAGACTTTAAATTACCCTTCAACATTGTTTTGTGTGTGGGTCTCCCTGGGGCTGGGCTTGCCTGGATCCGTGGGGCCATCAGAGAGGGGTTACAGAGCCATAGCTTAGCTTCCTGAAGACCTCATTTTTCAGAGAGAGCTCCAGACCATGGGGCCTCTCAACTATGTAGATGAGAGGGTCAGAAATATAATTGTGTAGGAGCCCCTGAGTTATTTTTGTCAAGTCTATGTTTATTTAATTTCTATATATCTGCAACCATAAGAAACATTGGTCAAATTCACGTTTTCCCTGCCTGAGTTTCCTTGGGTCTTTTGATAAAAGCTTGACTATCTTTTTGTGCTTTGTTTTTGGCTTTTTCTGTCTGTCCCCTTATTTTTTCACAAATTCGTGCACATTCTTTATTGTTTTATCTTTGTGGTAAGTGTAGAAGCCACACTCTGTTATGGTGTGTACTGTTCCTTCCCAATCCTATTGAGAACTCTTGAGTTTTTTAACATGGCATATAGGTTTGGAATTAGCTTTCTAGTTAAAAAAAAAAATGGGGATTTTCTTTGACTTGTATTGGATTTATGCTGCAAAATCGAACATACCCAACATCTTTTTGTGTACTATGTCATTTTTTTCTTTTTATTTTTTTTCTCCTTTGGAAATACACTTGGATGTACTATGTCATATTAATGGCATTGTTTACAGTAATATAAAAGGGTAAAAGACATTCTACATAATCATTTGTTTAGAAACTATAGTAAGTGTGTTAGTCTGAAACTGATGTGAAATAATGCACAAAGCCATAGAAAGAGAGTTTAGTGACACAGAATACATTGTTATGGTTACATAACAGCTATCCACCAAGTATGATTTAATCGAGAAAACAAAGCGTGAAAATCAAACATGCTTGAACAGTGAATCTGAATGTGACACGGGACTGTGCAGTAGCATGCGAAGTAAACTCTGATAACAGTAGGTTGGGATTTCCCACAGATGTCAACTAAAACTAATTAAAACCGTGTTGCATTGTTACAGTTGATGTAAAATCACACATATTTAGTGTGTGTATTCTGATATATTTGGACATATTACCTCCATGCACTAACCCCATTACCATAAACAACTCAGCAAACAGTGTTTTCCAGACATCCTTTTCTTGTCCATGTGTTCTGAGTGCCTACTGTCTACAGACTCCTCATAAAGTGACAGAATTGCTATGGATCCCAGGGATCATCTCAGTCTTCCATGCACTTGAGATTAGTATTATAAAATATCAGAATTCCCAAGTTCATGGCAGCTATGAAATGACTACATAAATATGAAAATAACCAAAATGTTAAGTTGTTGAATTCAAGCTGTGTGTCCTCAGAGGCCGTTGTGCTGAGTGAATGAGGGCAGCAGCAGTGGTTAGATGGTGATGATGATGATGATGATGATGATGATGATGATGATGATGATACACTTAGAGGTCTCCACAGTCAGGGCTATATCAGGCATGATACATTTTTTTTGGATTTTCCAATTTGGTGGAGTGCAGGTTTTTAAACTATGTTCTTATGGTTCGCTGAGTTTCCTTGGTATTTCTTAGGGACCCATTTTCAGTTCTGATTTTATTAGTTTAGATAGTCTATCTTTTATTTTAGTTAGTTTGGGTAAGGGTTTGTCTATCTTGTTGATTGAAAGGTTTCTGTACCTCCATAGTAAACCTCTCCACCAATGCAGTAATACAAGTCAAGACAAATTAAGAATTAAAAGTCTAGATTTAATGAGTAAATGCTCCTGGATGATTTTTTCACCCTCAGAGAGGAGACAGGGAGAATAGACCAAAAAACCACATGGCAGTTTTCTAGTGGGCAGCTTAAATACCCTGTAGGTGTGGCCTTGAGCGTCTCTGGGGGAGGAGCCACCACTTGGTGGGTTTTCTGAGATTGGGCGTGATTTGGAGAGAGGGAGAGAAGTGAGGGGAGGAGGGCCAAGTTGGAGCTATCTGACCACCCCAGATTCCTCGAATATATATGGGCATTGGTTCATGGTCTGGCTACTTCCTGTGGGCATGGGACACATGCCGGGGTGTGGGGGGAGGAGTTGAGGTGTCAGGACCCTCCCTCTCAGTGTTTAATGTTTTCACTATTATGTAGCAAGAGTTCTTTCTATCTTTTTTCTTTGATTGGTTGATATTTGTGGGGGAGACAGGGTCTTAATATATATCCCTGTCTATCCTGGGACTCATTGCCTAGATCGTGCTGGCATCCAACTCAGTGAAACACACTATTTCTGCCTTTGAATGCTGGGATTATAGGCTTTAGGCAGTACATTCAGCTTGTCCACCTTTTTTTTTTTTTTTTTTTTTTTTTTTTTTTTTTTTTTTTTTTTTTTTTGGTTTTTTGAGATAGGGTTTCTCTGTAGCTTTGAAACCTGTCCTGGAACTAGCTCTGTAGACCAGGCTGGCCTCCAACTCACAAAGATCCACCTGTCTCTGCCTCGCAAGTGCTGGGATTAAAGGCGTGGGCCACCAACGCCCAGCACCTTTTTTTGTAGTTAGTAATTGTGCATACAATGTCTCTGTTTACTCGGTACTGTTAATCTGTTTGCTTGTCTCTCTTTTTTAAAAGTCTGTTAATTAGCATTTGTCTTGCGTGGCTATATCCCAATCAAAGGGCACAGAAATGACAGGGGTGAACCTCCTATTCAGTTTTCTTCTAAACTGACTTTGTGATTGCTTTAGAATTTATGTGTTATGGAATAAGTCTGGTAAGCACCAGAAATATATGAATATACTGCCAAAGAAGAATACATTTACACTATTACTGTATTACTATCATGTTTTTTATTATATACGTCTGTGGAATATTTTAGAATGCCGTGACTTATGATGATGTGCATGTCAACTTCACTCGGGAAGAGTGGGCTTTGCTGGATCTCTCCCAGAAGAATCTCTACAAAGATGTGATGCTGGAAACCTATAGGAACCTCACTGCTATAGGTAAGACTGAGTTTTCCTTCACTTTTTAAAATAAGGTGACAGCTGTTTCTTGTTTATTGACGCTCTTCTATAATTTCTGTTGAGAAAGAAGAATGATTTGAATAGATCATGTGGGGTTCTAAGGTTCATTGAAGATAACAAATTACATTTTATGTAATTTCCAATAATATATCATACATTTTCTTATACTATATTTTAGGCTACATTTGGGAAGACCATAATATTGAAGAACCTTGTCAAAGTTCTAGAAGACACGGAAGGTAATTTTCGTGTGCAAGTGATGCAAATGTGCCTCTGAAGAAATTTTAATGTGTCCTGGAAATTTTAAGGGAAACAGCAGTGTAAGGAAGCACAGCCTTGAGTTTATTGATGATTCTGAAATTCTCACAAAATCATGTACCTCAACGTCAGCGAGCTGATTTGTGTTTGTAAGTTACTCTTTTAAAAAGGAAGACAAGGAAACAATGCCTTAACAGATATCACCATGTGAATCATAGCCCCATGCAAGCTATGCTGTAGAACTGCCAATTCATTTAGTTTCAGACTACTGAGATATTACCAAAGGTATACACATTGGATAGATGAGAAGTATATGTCCAAAATCTTCTAATAACTAAATAGCTCATAGTAAAGCTGGTGCTACACATATACTTGTAGCGAGTTTGCTAAATTTAGTGAAAGGGGAACTTTATGAGAGTCAAGAAAGTTGTGGAGAAACTTCAATCCCTATATCATGTGTCTTTGAGGAACATAGTCAATCTGTTTAAATGCAATGTGGAAAACTTTTATTTGTTATTCTTCCTTTACGAGGTATATCATATGTCACTCCGGGTACAAGCCCTGTGGGCATAGGGGTATTGAAAAAAGTAATCTCTTTCCCAGAGTAATTAGAAGCTGTGTAATAGCCCCCACTTTAAGTAGACTGAATGTGATACAAGTTTACATTTAATTAGGTTTCTACTTCGTTGGGAATCCATCAGTAAACTACACTGCAGAAAAGCTCTGTGAGTATTAGCAGTGTGGAAATTCTTTGGTTTGTCCTGGTCTACTTTGTGAATGTATGATTCACAGTATAGGAATATTTGTGAATATGGGATGTCAAAGCTTTGAGCTTTTCCAGTTCTCTTCAAATATGTGAAAAAACTCATATAAATGATGCTATAAATGTGAGCCATGTAATAAAGGCTCTTACAGGTCTTGCAGGTCTCTACAAAGACTCAAAAGAACCCTTAAGGAAGGGAACACCGTGAGTTAAACACAGTGATAAAACCTTAAGATTTGATTCCTCTTTACAATTAGACCAATTTGTAAAACTAATTCATTCAGGTAAAAAAAAAAATTCATGAGTGTAATGTATGTGGTAAAGCTTTTACATGTGCCAATTATCTTCACAGCCCTGGAAGAAGTCCTGCTGAAGAGAAACCCTGTGAATATACTCACCGTGCCAAGGCATTGCCATCTCACAGTCATCTTCAACGGCATGAAATAATTCCCAGAGGAAGAAAGCGCAATGAATGTAGTCAGTGTGGTAAAGCCTTTGCAAATCACAGTTATCTTCGAATACATAAAAGAACACACACTGGAGAGAAACCCTGTGAATGTAAGCAATGTGGTAAAGCCTTTGCACATCTTAGCAGCCTCCAAAGACATAAAAGAACACATACTGGAGAAAAACCCTACAAATGTAATCAATGTGAAAAAGCCTTTTCACAACCCACTAGTCTCCAAATACATATAAGAACGCATACTGGAGAGAAGCCCTATGTATGTTATCAATGTGGTAAAGCCTTTTCACAACACAATATTCTCCGTGTACATAAAAGAACGCATACGGGAGAGAAACCCTACAAATGTAATGAATGTGGTGAAGGCTTTGCACGTCACAGTCATCTTCAAAAGCATGAGAGAATGCATACTGGAGAGAAGCCCTACAAATGTAATGAATGTGGTGAGTCCTTTGCACGCCACAGTTATCTTCAAAGGCATGAAAGAATTCATACTGGAGAGAAGCCCTATGAATGCAGTCACTGTGGTAAAGCCTTTGCACATAACAGTTACCTCCGAATACATGAAAGAACACATACTGGAGAGAAACCCTATGAATGTAGTCAGTGTGGTAAAGCTTTTGCACGTCACACTAGTCTCCGAATACATAAAAAAATTCATAGTGGAGAGAAACCCTATAAATGTAATCAATGTGATAAAGCCTTTTCAGAACACAGTTATCTTCGAATTCATAAAAGAATACATACTGGAGAGAAACCCTACCAATGTACTCAGTGTTGTAAAGCGTTTGCACATCACAGAAGTCTCCAAATACATAAAAGAACACATACTGAAGGAAACCCTATGAATGCAAGTAATATAGTTAACCCTTTGTATGTAACATTAATCTTTGAAGTCATGAAAAAAAATCTTACTGGAGAGAAACTCTAAAAATGTAGTCCGTGTAGTAAAGTCATTGCACTTCGTGAGTCTTTATGCAAGAGGAAAACCTTTAGTGTAACCAATCTGCTATAGACTTTGCATATAACAGTAATCTTTGAGACCCTGAAAGAACTCATACTAAAGGGAATCAAAGGGATTGCAAAGGATTTGGTAAGGACTTCAGCCAACACACTTACAGTTAAACAAGATTTTTTATTCTGAAGAAAAAATTCTGCAAAGTGTCAACAATCTGTTCAAGCATGATGATGTACTTCATTATTTTATTTGCTCCTATAAACTCATGTGTACAAAAGCCGAATGAATTTAAATGATAAGGTAACCCTTTTTGATTTTACACTTTTCTTCAATTATGTGAAATAATTCATCTAGGTGTGAAACTTAATGGATGTGGTGGCCCCTCCAAGTCTTCCAGTCTTCCTCTTCTTCTCCTCTTCCTCCTCCTTCTTCTTCTTCCTCTTCCTCTTCTTCCTCCTCCTCCTCTTCCTCCCCTTTCTCCTCTTCCTCTTCTTCCTCTTCCTCTTCTTCCTCCTCCTTTTCCTCCTCCTCTTCCTCTTTCTCCTCTTCCTCTTCTTCCTCCTCCTCTTCTTCCTCCTCTTCTTCCTCCTCCTCCTCTTCCTCCTTTTTTTTTTTAATATTACATATAGCTGTAAATGTCAGCACCCTGCAGAACCCCTTTGGGTGGACTGTACTTGAACTTTAAAACACCTCGGTCCCCACACTGTCATCCCTGTCACCTTCCTTCCTGGTAGGAATAAGAATATTCTAAAGAGACATTTATATTTCTCCCTTTGGCTAACAACTAATGAAACAGTGGATGCCTTGAAATTCTAATTTCCCAGGAATCTCACTCTGGGCAAAGACTGAGTCCTCCAGAAGAAAACTTCTCTGCTGAAGACACGTTTACCTCTTATCTGAATACCTTGCACTGGAGAAAGCTGAGAATGGGGAGGGGGAGAGTTAGGAATGGAAAATAATTCACTGTATGACTTAGATAACTTACTTGTGCATATCTGTTGTCATCTATCTAAACCTGTTTGCACTCCCAGGATTAATTGGTTACCTTGTGTCATCATCACTCTTACAGATTATTCACATTGAATAAATATGTTTTCATTTTTTTCTTTAGTTTGGTTTTTTTCTATTTTTTTTTTAAGGGAATAGTTTCACTATGAATGTTCAGCTGGCCTGAAACCCACTCTATAGTCTGTCTTAGGACATCACAGGGATCTGCCCACCTTGTCTTGAGAGTGTCTGCATTACAGTGGACATGTCACAACTGAATAACTTGGTTCTTTTAATTAGCCTAATAAAGATGAGTGGCTAAACCTGGCTGATTATGGTAACTACAGCACAGCCTCTGGTCCTATGTCCATTAGCAGAAGAGGCTCTCATCAAATGCAGCCCTCCTGCTTTAAAGTCCACTGTCTTTTATGAGCAGTATTATTTATCAAAGGACTAGTTCAAAGTCCTGTTCTTATTCTACACATGGTGAAACCCAGGCTCACAGAGTTAGGCTTTAAATATAGTTAAATATAACTGCTCATCTTACTCCTCCTGTCATTCTAACACCTCACTAAATAAAGCCCAAGCCACCTAAGCCAGGCATGATGGCACTAGCCTGAAACCATTGTACTTAGAAAGTGGAGGCAGGAATTACAGGATCTCAAAGTCATCTAAGGTGAGAATGGTCAATGGGTTATGGTAGAAGACCCACAGGACCTAGGGAGACTGTGATTGTCTTGGGCCAATGTCCACAGTCTTCCCTGCAGCGCCAGCATCGACAGTGCTGATGGGGACTTTTCCTTGACAATTTCTGTGTTTGTATTCTCTATTCTTTGTATGTGTGAGAATTGTCGCATTGATATATCTTTTAAGTGTATACTTTAGACCACATAATCTAAAGGATAGACTTGCTCTGTAAATCTCCATCTGTCTAAGTGGCAAGACTTGCAGTCTCCTGTTCCTGTTTAACTTGTGCAAAGTATCATCTGGGACCTGAATCTTAAGTCTTAAGGATGACAGCATGTGTGGAATGCAAAATCTGTACAAGACTCTGTCATAAGCTATTGTTGGCCATGACATGATTATAACAGATGACATCTGATATTTATAAGATCGACCTACCAGGTAATCATCAACTAATCTGATGGACGAAACTTATAGACAAGGCTTATGAAAATATTGCCTATAAATACTGACTTCTCCTGTCGGCCAATTCACATGCAGACAGCTATGGTATCTTGCCAGTACCTGTACTGTAATGTGTAATCTCTTGTGTATATGCAATCTCATGATTACATCTCAATCTTATGGGCACATATATCTGTGAATGGTCAGGAAGATGACTTCTCATTAAACTGTATAATTGTATATATAAAAAAAATACTAGAACATGCCTCATGACCAGATCTTTTCCACGAGGGCTGTAAGACACTTAGGCCCTGTTTTGTGATCACTAGCTTAGAGTGGCATAAAAAAATAGCAATTTCTTCTCAGTTCTAAGACAAGCCACATACAGTTAATTGACTCATAACCTCAAGAGCAAATTCAGAGTAGACCGAATGTCTCTGTAAATGGATTGTAAGTTAAAAACTTCAGTTATGCACAAGGACATAATTGCTGGTGTCTAACCAAGCTTGTTAATGCAGAACAACCTAGAACTATCATGCCATCTTTTCTAGCCAGAGCTGGCTGATACCAGATCAGTGGCCATTAAATTCCTTAGCAATTAACAGTATACAAACTTCTAACCTCAGCTTATGGTACAAAATTCAAGACTCAGCTAACTGTTTAAGTCCTAAAACTTAGATGGAGGACAAGAATAGCAATTGACCAAGTGCGGAGAGAAACAGCTTCACATAGGAAAGGCTTCACAGATGGCCAGGACTACAGAATGTAGCCTGGGCTCAGTCTTACAAAGTTACAAACATACTTCCCTCCTTGAACTCTGGGACTGCACACAGGATAAAAAAATGTATCTTCAGGTTTTGGACACAGAATGCCAGCCTTGAGGAAAGTGCTGAAGTGCCTAGTGTTCTTTGCCGCTGCCTAGGTGTTGTCATGATAAATAGCTCTGCCCCTTATTGTTTACTCAAGAATACATTGAGACTCTGAAAAAGTTTCGTAGTCTTTTTGTTGCCAAAAGTTAAATATGTATATAGAAGCTTTGTGAATAGGGGAGCCGAGGAGAATTGGGATGAAAAATTGGAACAGAGCATTGGAATTAAAGATTTAGAACTAGAGAATTGGAACCAGGAAAAGAGAATAAGAAGAGCATGATCCTCAGATCATATATATGAGTCTTTTTCCTTCAGATAAATAAGAAAATTTCCTAACGTTCTTGCTACTCTGAAGTATTCTTTTGGCAACCTGAGTGCAGCCTTGGGATCTGGACTCCCGGGATTTGACATGACTCCGAAGCATTATGCAGAGCTGGATTATGACATCCAGAGATGTATTACAGAGAAGTTTGTTTATTAGTCTTTTAAGTATTTGGAGTGATTTCTCTCTTAGAAGACATTAATTCTAGAACAGCTGTACCTCTAGCCTTTTAGAAAAAATGTTTCCAAGATAAGCTCTCCTTTGTTGACCCGGGTAGCCTGGATCTCACTCTGTTGTTCTATGGGGCAATGACCTTGCTTTCCTCTTGTTCAAGCCAACTAAATTCTTAAAGGGCTCTACTACCACTGACATTTAAAAATACTCATTTGAGCCATATAGTCAGTTGTCCATTTCAGCAATGAGAAAAAGATTTACTTGTGGAATATAGCTTCTACCTTCAGGACAGAATAGGAAGAATAGTTTCTTGTATATAACACAGGGGGAAACGGGGTAGGCAATTATCGGAGTCTTATGAAAAAGGACCTGAAATGGGGGGAATGGTTTTTGTAATTTTCCAGCATATCATGTAAATGTAGGCAGACAAGATTGGTGGGTGTTCAGTTTGGGAAGGTTAACTTGAGCCAATAAATATTGAATTTCCAATTAGGGAACTCTCCTATACACATATGTTTGACATAGCTCCTTTACCATCCTGGTTAACACAAGTCAATTCAGAGGATTGAGACACAGGCCCTGGGCTTGATTTGTGTGTGTCAGAGCTCAGCAAGTAACATTGTACATAGATTTAAGGCAAACAATGTCTTATAAATGCCATTCCCTGTACCAGGGAATGGTCTGCTCTTTTTAAAACTCAGTATAGCTATGTGTTTTCTCAGTATAGCTATATGTTTAAAATTATTTGTAATTTTAAAAAGTCAAGTATTAGTTTCCTTTTTAAAATATTTTTGAAAGGCATCACTGCTCTAATCTCTTATTCTCCAGTGTTCCTCAGTCATTAATAATTTCTTTTCATTTCTCTCAAGTACTGTTGATTATTTATTTGTGTTTAGAGCAGTGTCTCCTGTAGCTCAGGCTTCCTTCAAACTATGTAATTGAGAATTGCTTTGAACACCTGATCCTACCTCTGTTGCCCAGAACTAGGAAGACAGTCCTGCAACTCCTTCCAGGCTCGGCCTTGCCTGGTCAGTGAGAAGAGAAAACAGACCAGTTAATGAGTGTCATCTAGCCTCTCTGACTTTTTAAAGATGTATTATTATTATTATTATTTAAAAAGAAACTATCTTTTTAAATTTTATATACCAATCCCAGTTCCTACTCCCTCCTCTCCTCCCATTCCCTCTACCTATCCCCCCACTCCACCCCCATCATCCCCAACACCCCACCACCTCAGAGAGAGTAAGGTACATTGCTTCACCAAAGGTCCATGGCCCTCCTTACTATATATCTAGACTGAGTAAGGTATCCATCAAAAGAGAATAGGTTCCCAAAAAGCCAGTACATGCAGTAGGGATAAATCCTGGTGCCACTGCCAGTGGTCCTGCAGTCTGCCCCAGCCATACAGCTGTTCAGAAGTTCCCTCTTCCTTTTATTGGAAGAGGGAAGGGTATAAGAATTGAGCTCACTGACCAGGTTTAATGTAGCTATAGGCACAACACAGAAAGGGAGGGGTAAGAAGTGGGGTGAATGTTTCTCTGCTTTGAGAGAAACATTAGCAATGAATTTGACATTAGCAATGAATAGTGAGGTAATAAATTATAGATGATTAATATACATCCTGACTGGCCCTTTCCTTCTTTCTTTCTTTCTTTCTTTCTTTCTTTCTTTCTTTCTTTCTTTCTTTCTTTCTTTCTTTCTTTTTTCAACACAGGATTTCTCTGTGCATCTCTTGCTGTCCTGGAACTCACTGTGTAGATCAGGCTGGCCTCGAACTCACAGAGATCCACCTGCCTCTGCCTCCTTGAGTACTGGGATTAAAGGCGTGCGCCACCACTGCTTGGCTGTGACTGGCCATTTCTTGCGTCCACAGACCAGGCAATAAGGAATCTGGGTAAATATTCTTATTTCCCTGCAGGCTTTACAGCAGGCAGGAGACAAAGAAAAGACCTATAAAGAGAAAAGAGTGTAACTTGGCTCAGCCTAATTTTATTGTAACTGGTGT